GGAAAATTTAAGGGGTAGTTATATAATAATTTTGGACGATCTCGGGCGGTCGGATACTTATGACCGCTACTGTACTAGGGAATCATCCGCATCTACCGAAAAATTGTCTAGCAAGAAAATGAAAAAGTCGGTGGGAAAAAGGTATCGAGTACACTAAAGCAACTTATAGAAGAATTATTAACTGATATTCCTGTTGTTGGTGGAATCTCAGAGGAATTAAGTTGTGCAACAGATGCCAGGAGTATTTTTTTACAACTCTCCGATAAGATAGACAATGCCGAAATAAAAAACGAAGATGCATCTCGTGACCTTATCTCCAGCTACTTTGATTTTGGGGAAGCTTTATATAATCAATATAAGGAGCTAAAACCCACTTATGTATGGTAAAGAAGGAGCAAGGGCTTTGGTCAAAAGTGGGGTTAGGAAGGAGATTCCTGAGACGAAATTCTCTGATGATGCTTTAAAAAAAAGAATGGAAAGAGCCCGAAAGATGTTTAGAATTTTCGATACTATAGGCAAAGAAAAGATAGCACGGGTAAAATTAACCCCTCCCGGTTTTATCTTAAATCTAACTGTAGATGATACCGATTATGTAATTACCGAAGTTTTAAAAAGAGCAGGCACTGCGTAATACTGCTCCATATTATACTGCGCCCTGGTGACATGGTGTCCCGGCTCGGCGATTAGAAAAATAATGATTTCTTGCAGTTGCAGTTGTATTTCAAATATGTATTAATAAAGCATTTTATAAAAGTTTTGCCCATATCGGGCTGGTGATTTTTAACCAATGTATTAATTATTCTACATCTAAATGTATGCTACTTCGTAATCATTTTCCCGAGTCCATACATGTGAAACAAATTGGTTATATTTGTAATATAAAATCAAATTTATTTAATAATTTTTATTAAGCAGTCGTAAACAATCATTTGTATATTTTTAATGATAACAACACTACCGACTTAATTTTCCTTTCAAAGTCTTTATCAAGTGATAAACACTTTCTAATCTATATGCCAATTCCAAGTACAGAAAAAGAAATAAAAAAGGTTCAAACTGTTAGCATCACAAGTCCAACAGTTGAGGTTCCTACTAACCAACAATAGCAAGCAGTAGAAAAAAAATAATCACCTTTAAAGAATAACAACCTCTCACAATAAGAATTTCACTAAATAAAAAAAATTGTCCCACCAACATCAAATGACTTGATAATTAAAGCCCAAGGGTCCTCTTAGGACAGCCTGTTGTCTCTGATTATTTAAAGTAAAGACCTTTTGGTTTCCAAAAAATAGCGTATAGTCGTATTGCCACACGATCGAATAAAAAAATCCGAAATATGGAGGGACTAATTGCCGATTTGTGTCATCATTTAAGAGAAAACCGGGTGGGATCGGTGTTAAATTATTATTACCGTTCGCGAAATGACGTTGACATTTCCGGCTTGAATCATAACTTTTAATTGTTGGCTGATGTCAAATATATAAGTATTATTGTTGATATACGAGAAACTTCCTCCCCACCACATATCGTCGTCGGGTTCACTTTTCTTTTGGTCTTTATTTTCGTACTTCATTGTCGTTGAAATTGTTCAGATAATTATGGAAGAGTCGACGACATACCTTATAAATTCTTAAAGCGCGTCTCATTTGACGATGAGATAAGTCTTATTTGTCACGTAGGTGTTGAATACGTAAGAATAGGATCGGCATCTCGTGATTTATAGAAGGGAGATCTCATGTGATACGATATACAGTACATACCCCAGTATTACCAACAAGTTTTTCACCCCACATGACTTTGTGGCGTAACTCAGCCACACATTGGGCCTGGCCAAAATTAACAAATAATTACTATAGGAATTAAGAAATAACGTGAAATTTTCTTTAAAATTCTTTCATTTTTATTTCATTTTTTAATATAATATTTAACTGCAAATATAACTATAACAACATGTAAAAATTTTTTCTCTTTCAATAAATTTATTTAATAAAATTAATTATAAAAAATTGTATATGAATTTCAAAGTAAAAAAAATATATATAATAGAAGAAATCCTAAGATTTAATAGACACGAAATTATACAAAAATAATTACAGTTAAAGAAAGCAAAGATCAAGAAGAAAATAATACAATGAAATTACAGTAAAAGAAGGCCTAAGATCAAGAATAATAAGCACAAAATTATATTAAAGAATAATGATAAAAGAAGGCCAAAAGTCAAGAATAATAGGTATGAAATTATATTAAAGAATCATGATAAAAGAAGTTCTAAGATCAAGAATAATAGGCACGAAATTATAAAATAATAGACATGAAATTATATAAAATAATTACAATGAAAGAAACCAAGATCAAGAAGAAATAAACAAAATTATACAATGAAATTATAGTAAAAGAAAGCCTAAGATCAAGAATAATATGCGTGAAATTGCAAAAAAAAATCATAGATAAAGTAGCTCAAGATTAAGAATAATATACATGAAAAAATTACAATAAAAAACCCCTAAGTTTAAGAATAAATTCACAAAGATAAAAGGAAATTACAGTAAAAAAAGTTCTCAAGTTTAAGAATAATATACGTGAAAATAAAAGGAAATTACAGTAAAAGAAGTTTTCAAGTTTAAGAATAATATATGTAAAGATAAAAGAAAATTGCAATAAAAAAAGAAAAAGAAGTTAGTTAAGTAAAAAAAAAATATTCAAAAAAGATACTTATATACCTAAACTTACTATTTGCTAAAGTGCCATTAAAAATTTAAAAAGGTTAACAAAAGAAAAAAAAATAAAACAAAAATAAAAAGAATAAATTATGCAATAAAATGTAAACAAATAATAAATGATTATGCATATATGTATACATCACAGTCACATAGGGGATGAAAAATTTCTTGATAATACTAGGAAAGATTATAATACATTATGTCACAAACTGATTTAGTCATGCATATGCATGTAAATATAAAATGAATTTAAGTTTAACAATATGTAATTAGCTATAAATCAATAAAATCACTTATAAAAATAAATCTAATATTTATTTAAATATAATATTACTAAATTAGCTAAAATCGCTAAAAATACTATAAATCAATAAAATTGTTATAATCTATTATATTCTACCAAAATGTTAATATAGATTTTGATAATAAAGCCCATTATAAACTTGTTTCTGTAGACTATAGTGATATAAACTTCATAAAATATAGAAGAATATTAGAAGCATTATATCCTTTAGGTAAATGATATGATTATGAAACATCAGAAATATGATGCTTTCATATTCATGGTCTATTTAGAAAAATACTTAAAGAGAATTCAAGAATCTTTTTAAGAATGGATATATTATAATATGTGAAAAGCTTTATAAAAATGATAAAGTTTACGCTCATTGAACAAATTATATATATTGTAATGTATATGACTCCTTAGTTTTCATACCTACAACTTTTTATAATGCCCGTCAATATCATAATAGTCACTTGAAAAGATGTATTTCTAGAAATACTATTTTAAATGAACATGCAAGAAGAAATAAAATTTTCGAATCTATTAATATAAGAGAATTTCAGATCTGATAATATAAATAATATATATTATAACAAGAGGCTAAAATTAATCATCTTCATCTAGAGCTTTTCTCCTAATCTATCTCATACTCAAAAAAGGATAAGTTAGCATTAGTATCATATGATTATAATTTGAATTTTACGGTTAACTATGTACAATATAAAGCAACTATAGCAAAAAATTCTATACCAGCTTGTATTTCTAATATTAGGCAAAAAATGGTTTTGTCAATTTCCTTGACTTATAGTTAAGTCCATAAATCTAAAGCACTAAATAGGCTAACTCCTCTTCTATTATTATAAAAGCCTGTTGAATTAATGTGTGATCTTGAGAGATATCCTATGTAACATAATGCAAGTACACCTGAATTTAAAAATCTTTAGAACGATCAATTAAATATGTCTAATATTTCTAGCAAGACTACTTTGGATGATTTTGCTAAAGCATATTTCAATTCTATGCAGGAAGAAAATAAACTTAACTATTAAAGTACTTCACAATATCTTTCAACTAAATATTAACATTATGTATTTTAATTATATTTAGCCAAACATAATTTATACTTTATTTTTTTGTGAAATGAATATATAATTTGTATGCATAATCACCTAATATAATTGTAAAATATATCACCTGCAAGATAAAAAATCTGATTTGCCTATTTTAGGTTAGATCTTTTAATATACTGTATAACTATTTTAATAAAATATTTTTAAGTTCAGGAAGATCAATGAAATACTCTTGAGGGTTCTTGATTGCGAGATAATATAACTATCAGTTTGAGAATTTCTATGCAGTATTTATTCAGTGAGCTTACAGAAATTACAAAAAAGGATCTGAATCTTTGGCAAAACAAGTTTAAGAGGTGATAAGGAATGATGGTATTCCTGATAGAAAGAAATTCTTAGGTATACTTACGATTCCTCAAATGAAAATAAATCTTGAGACTTAAAAAGAATATACTTTACGTCTCAATAAATTTGTTGACATGCTTAAAAAAGCAAATGCTTATCAATACTATATTGAAAATTATAATCTAGCTAATGAGTTATAGTATATAAGTAATATATTAATTATGATCTTACTTTTTGAATAGAAAAAAAGAAATAGTAGTTAAGCGAATGACTAAATAAAGAAGCACATAATTTTATTAAGGAAATATTAGAATAGCAAGATTACAGGTAAGCTTATATTTCATGATAAGAACTCAAAATTATTTATCTACTATAGAGATATATGATAAAATCTTTACAGAATTCTAAAAATTATCTTGTTAAAGAATTTAATAGACTTTTCGTTAAATTAAAATAATATATTGTCTAGCCATAATGCATGTAGGTATGTGCAATATAAATTAGCATATTTTTAATGTTCGTTAAAGTGAATATGATGTAATAAGTGATACACTGCAAATTAACTGCAACTCTGTGTGATTGCTTATGCAACAGATTAATTTTCACACATAAGAAATCAACTTCCAAAAATATTTCATTTTTTTTCCTATCTGAATAGCATTTATTTATACATTTATTTCTTCTGATCTGGAGGCTATTCTTACTAGATTTTGACCAAAATATATTTGTATAATGCTACTAGGCCTTTATTACTAAGCGGTCAAGTAAGTAGAATAAAAAAAGTATATATATGCATATTTCCCAATGCCTTTGCAATGTTAAGATTTATAATGCATATTTTGCATATCTTATTTTTAAACATAAAACTTTAGCGTAAAATGCCTTATATATTTCTCCTATCTCTTCCCAAACATGAAAAGAATGTGAATGTGAATGTGAATGTGAGAAATGGTAGTATTTAAAAGGTAGTATAGAAAATTTAAATTTATGCTATTGAAAACTTCACATTATATCAATACATTTTTATTAATATTTTTTACTATGTTGAATTTAGTAGCTAAGGTTAAAGCTCTTTTATTACAAGAATCATTTGATGCTCTTTGCGGGACATCTGTGGTTTATTTAACAATAGAGAAAAATATTCTACCTCCATATGATAAAGTACAGGAAATAGTTGACTGGATGGTTAATTCATCTCTATCTAAAATAAAAGATCTTGATCAAAGAACTAAAATGTTAGAAATATTACCACAGGTATGACATAAATGAGATTTTTATTTCTATTTTTTACTTTAATTATAATGCTATAGTAGATATAGGATTTAGTTTTGGTATGTCATAGCTGAAGGTCAGAAAGTGCCAGCCCAGAAGATTAATGTCTTAGGATGTTAAGGATTTCTGCTTCTCTTTACTATACATGACTATCCAACTAAAATAATGATAATATGCCTTTTTAAAAATTTCTGAAAACACATGTGTAGTGGTAATTATAATTCATGAATTTAGGATGAAAATAATGTACTGATACTTTTTTATCACATCTACTGTAGGTGAAAAGTAGATATACTAGTATTCGTAAGTTAAAAGCATTAAAAGTATTAAATATAGATAGAAATTTACCTTTGGATCATATTCAGAAAGAAATAGAACAAATCTTAATATGTTAAAATCTAAACTCAAGATAA